CTGGCACAAACCCTAATCTAGTTGCTCTCCACCCAAAGTAAAATTTATATTTAGAGGGTGGTAAGGGATCTTTTTATTGATATGTGGCTAGGCAGGGACTTGTGTAAGGTCCTCTTCCCTCTCACCTAACAATTTAAATTGTCTTCAGGATCGTAAACAGACGCAGCATAATCGGACATTTTATCACGATTTTAAAGCTTGTTGCGTGTGGCGACGGTCAAGTATCAATGCGCGAATATAAAATGAAGTAACAAGCGTGAACAATAATATAAACAAAAAGCGCGCAGTGCATGCCGGTTGACACACATTCTTTAACTAGTATCATATTTCATAATATAATGAGCAATGTAAACTAGCCAATTCTTTTCACCTACAAAATGTCGACAATATACCTTAATACATGTAGTAAAATTCGCGCAGTAGCTACTAGAGTTCGGGCAAGTAGTAAAGATAAAACTTGCATTCAAAATACCAAGACATTTATTGCATGGTTCTCATTTGCCTAATACAATAACATTTAGTTCACAATATAATATAAACCGGCAAGGAATAGTCGTTCGATTTGGCTATACTGTTTGCTCGTTTTGAATGTATATTGATCGATTTCAATAATCGATTTACATATCAGTCTGCTCGATTCGAGTAAGTGTTGCCCGATTTGTATCATTGGTGATTTGGTGTTCGACTTATAACTATTGGACCTATTGCATTTTGACAGTAAAAACGCGCCATATATAATACATGTATCGGCAATTCGCGCAGTAGCCACTAGAATGTCTAGAATTGGCGCAAGTAAAGATAAAGCGTGCGTTCAAAATACCACTGGCAATGAACAAGAACTAAGACATTTGTTACGAAATCTGCTACAAAATGTCGACAATATAGCATACAGTGTTGGATTTTTCTCATGTGTATAATGTAGCATAACACATGTATTAAAATTCATGCAGCAGCTACCAGAATTCGCGCAGCGCTGGGTGCGCAAAATTGCAAAAAGCCGTTTGTGGTAGCTATAGTAAATATAAAATTTATGCTACAAGGATCAAGGTAATAAATGGGAAATGAACTAGCTATTTTAAAACTGTAATGTATGATGATTCTTTTGAGATAACAATGAGAAGATGAAGCGAACGAAGAAGAAAAATTCCACTAAGTCGGCGGCCAAAAAGGCCGTTTGCCGTGAAGTTTAAATTGCCCTGTTAGTACATTTAAAATGCACGTAGTAGCCTATAATATGTGCGTGGAACGCATATTACCTCGCCCTCGACGTTTTACCCTCGCCCTCGACATTTAACCCTCGACACTCGACCAATAGATAAACTCCACACGACATATAGGGACACTCAAGGTGGCACTAATTGCATCGTATAGGGTTGAAAAGTTGCCAATGATAAAGTGGTGATTTCTGCCTTCTGCTTTTTGTTGTCAAATTATTGATTTTCTTTGAATAAATCTACCGTATCTACCCCTGAAACTGTTCTATACGAACTCTCTTGCTCCCCATTTCCTTGTCTACTACACCATAGCCAATCTCGTTCCCCGAGCCTGCGATCCTCGGGAAGGAAACGAAGGCTCTGGGATAATCCGTTGCCGAAAGCCAGGAATTCTGGCTAAGATTGAACTGCACATTCCATATCAATGGCCAATCAGATTCCTCCCTGAAACGGATTATCCCAGAGCCTTCGTTTCCTTCCCAAGGACCGCAGGCCCAGGGAACGAGATTGCACCATAGCGCGCATGTCATCATTTTCAGGTCAGTGTGAACGCCTGAGTAGGCGTCTTGTTAGGTTTAAAGCCACGAGCGTGCAGCGCGAGTGGCTTTAGACCTAAGAAAACACGACCTGCGAGTTTTTTAAATGGCTTCAAAAACGTTTGCATAATAAGTCAAATCTTTATATAAAAATCTTTATATAAAAATCTTTATATAGTTTGCATAACAATGGTCTTTTGTTAAAGTGTTCTTTAGCTGGTATAAAGACGTATGCACGTGACTAATTTCTTACTCAAGATTGGATAATTGCTTCATGAATTATTAATGAGTTTTTGAATGTAGAATAATCTTGACCGTAACTTCTTATATAATACAGCAACAATATAAATTTTATTACTTTGTGTAATTTATAACTATTGAATATGAACAACTGTTACATTTGTTCAACTTTTACAATAGTTGCTCGCACATTTATGTTACAGCACAGTCAGCGCTTAGCAGTTTACTGCTTACAGATGACTGTACATTTACTCAACAAATCCCTGAGATATTTCTCGTTAACGAGTAACGTACAGCGTAAAAACACATGGGATTGTAAATTTGAAGTGTGTTTGAAGAAATATCTCAAAATCGTCAGTGTAGACAAACCAGTTTCAATATCACATCCACTAAATTATTTAACAGTAATCGACAATTTCAAGAGGCAAGAGCAACCATTATCCAGTTTAAATTTCGACATTCCATCTGCCTCCTAGAGTATTCCGTTTTGATGTTTTATATGGTAGGCTACAGACCAAATATAAATTGGACGTTTCACCCTTTCGGCTTGGTTTGACCATCTGGATTTCCTTACATTCCGGCCGTCTGTTGCATAAAGTGCAAAATAATTAATGTTTCATTCATATTTGTAACAATTTTCAACATAATAATGATATTCTTGATCGTTATTTTTTTAATAGTGTCTGAATATAAAGAGATCATATCCTATTATTATTATTATTGTTATTCTAATTCATTTATATAGCGCCATTTCCCATAGCTCAATAGCGCTTAACATTAAATGTTAAAAATATATACTAAGTGTTAGAACATAGTACATGCATTGACTACTAAAATTACTATACTATAAAATTACTAAAAAATTAATTATATGCTCTTCTCGTTAAGAATATAAAATTACTTTATGTTATGTATGTTGATAATATTAAAACAGCAACTATATAGAATACTATAAAATTGCTAATAATCTTGTTAAGATAATAACTTAGTCATAATATTGTTTAAAAAGCTGTGTCTTTAACAGTAGCGTAGCCAGCCCAGCGATTTAGTCCCGCTATGCAAATATTTTCGTGTTCATTGACTGTGAAAACGATCAATTTCTAAAGAAATGAATAATGAAATAATTTTGAATTTGCATAGCAGGACTAAATTGTCGGGCTGGCTACGCCACTGGTCTTTAATCTGGTTTTAAAAATAGGCAAGGTCTCACTCTTTCTAATACACTCTGGCAGTTCGTTCCACAGTTTCGGTGCAGCATATGAGAACGATCGTTCACCGTAGTTCACTAGTTTTACTGAGGTTATGGTAAGCAATCCTTTGGATGAGGAGCGTAAATTTGCTGATGGTGTGTAAGGTTTTAGTATATTATTAATGTAATGTGTAGCTGAGCCATTCAGCGATTTATACGTAATAAGAACAATTTTATAGATGATGCGTTGACTGATGGGGAGCCAATGTAATTGTTTCATTAATGGAGTAATATGATCGTATTTTTTGCTTCCTGTCACCAGTCAAGCAGCACAGTTTTGCACATTCTGTAACCGATCAATAAGAAATTTAGGCAATCCGTATAATAAAGAATTACAATTATCCAGTTTCGATGTAATAAAGCCATGAACTAAAGTTTGGATATCTGACGTTGATAAGTACTCTTTTATTCTTGCTTTTTTTCTCAAATGGAAAAAACAGTTCTTGCAAATATTGGTAACATGTTTATCCATAGACATGTGGTAGTCGAAAGTTACACCAATGTTTCGTGCTGAAGTACTTGGTTGAATTCTTGAATTAGACACTTCTATATATTCTACAGCAGGGCATGAACGATTTCATGCATTGATTACTAGTAGTTCAGTCTTGTCCCCATTCAATTTCAATTTATTTTTGACCATCCACAAATCAATCTCTTTCACACACATTTCAATTTGTGCCATTGCTCCCAATTTTCCCTTATATCCTATGGGAGTAGGAATAACACAGCTTTTGACATTTAAATTTTATAGTAGTTTGATATAATCAAATTAATTAATCCCGTGCTGGTGGGGGTAACATAGTTGGTCCACAAGGGTTACAAAGCTGGTCCAAAATCGTCTGGTTTTGGCAGGCATCGGCGCTACTATCTTTGGCCTGCAAGCAAATTTCGCCCGACAATCTAAAAGCGATCGATGCCTGCGGAGGAGGCTAATATTTACCTTGAAAGGTCTGTGCAAGCGTAGATATATAGTGCCAGTAATAAGCAAGTTGGTATAGGGATGCGCCTACTAACTTCCCGACGAGGGGCCTTCGCTCGAAACGTTGAATTTCTTCTTGCATTTTTTAGGTAGTTGCATTTTTAATATTTTTCGTATTTTTTCCTTTCAGAAAAGAGGCTTAATTAAAATACAATACACGTGAAGCCCTTGAGAAGCCAATAATTTATATATCGAAACTGCGCAGCTTCAGTCGTGTTTGAAGAAGAGCTTTCTTCAGTTTGTTGCAATCACGGTTTGCCTGAAGAGAAGAAATGTCCGCTTTAAAATTTTCGTGTAAACAAAAATAAATGTTCCGTTTGATCAAGATTGCCGTGTCAGCGTCAATAGTTTATTTAATAGTGATGTCAATTTTTTTGTTCCATAAGAATATTACAAACGTTACAACGGTTAGAACGGAATATCTGAATCCAACAAGGATGTTAAGTAATCCACCAAGAATGCCAAAAGAAGAACTATTCTTATTTGTTGGCATAGTTAGCGCTCCATCGCGTCTTGATCGGAGAAATGCCATCCGAGAAACATGGATAAAAGAATGTCAATGTAATCCTGATGCTGTTTGCCGTTTCTTTACCGACGGACAAGATCCAAAGGGACAGGCGTTGCAAGGAGAGAACATAAGTAAACTTGAAAACGAGAGTCGAGTTTATGGAGATATTCTTTTAGCTGATGCACCTGGAGGGATTAATTTTGCTATAAAGTATCTTTGGATGTTGCAATGGGTGCACGAAAGATACGACGTTCGTTACTTTCTTCGCCTTGATGACGATTACTTTATATGCTTTCGGAAGTTGATGGCGGAATTAAAATTTCGACCAAAGGAGAAATTCCTATGGGGCTGGCTGCATTGTAGTCATAAAGGTATGAGTGATAATTCAGCTATCGTATTTACTCGTTTAAACGCAGCCCCGAATAAAGGCCGCCCCAAAATAATATATATCCGCACTTGTTCACAACAACGTATCATTTAATCTAAGTACTGTTTGAAAAATGCTGTGTGTACGATGTTGCAATCTTTAACAATTGCTTAGGAACATTTTTCTCCAGAATTTCAATGTCCTTTATGTTTATTTTGTTCCTAATATGTCTTGTTATGGCTTACAGGTAAAAAATTTTATAAAGAATGCCGCCATCGAACAAATAACAAAAGAACAAAACATCGTCGCGGCCTCAAATAAGTGTAATACTAAACAATTAAAGAGTATCGCGGCGCCATCTATATGGACAATTTTGTGTTGGTTATAACAAATGAAAATAATGTTTCTTAATAAACTCAATCTGATCAATAATTGGTATTTACCTAAAATATTCACTGATATCAAAACTACGATTCGATGGAGCAACCTTTTGAATTCCCTGAATTAATTTTGAAGCAAGAATATTTTTAATGAAAAGAAAATTTTTAAATCTACCACTTCTCTTACGAATCGTTAACCATTATGTGTTTAATTTAAATTAGTAGTACTATCAAGGAAACAATTTCTTTTATATAGCTTCCCATGCAACAACTAAACTCTACTAATGAGTTTTAATTCGTTTTAAGCACGAGATATTGAGATTTGAGTGTCCTCTCATTAATTATTTGCTGGCAGATAGTAGAAGAAAGAAATGCCACTACTAACCAATTTCTTTCTAGGCAACATTTTTTATTCCTAGCTATTACCGAAAGCTTTAAAAACCTCTTCTAAAATGTCACCAACACCACTGTACATTTGCGAAGCTTTCTTTAGGCATAGTAGACCTAAATGGTCCATCCAACCATAGCTTTGAGATCAGCGGTGCATGCAGTATTGAAATCGGTTCTAGATATAGGGCAAGTTGGTGGGCATCCTCTCATAATTACCTCGCTAGTTCATATTTAATCCGCACAAGACGTGGTCAGCTTCACTCTAAATTTCCTGGTGAATCTGCAAATAACGCTTTTTGGGTTAAGTTATTGTTAGTATTGCTTATTCGTTATTTTTATCTCACTCTCTACCATAGGCAATGTTAATGTAATCAGTGATCTGGTTATATTTGACAAGGATGCCCTTGTTAAAATAACCAGACTATGTTAGGTGGATGAATAACCAGGACGCGCTGGTTAAATATTATCCCGTCATAATATAATCTGGTTAATTAATTTAACCAGGAAATGGCGGTCAAATTAACTACACACAGGGGTGTAGGAATCAGGGTGGTGGGGTGGAGGCACGGGGGGAACCCCTTTTGTGAGGAAAAGTGCCCTTTTTGTACAAACTAATGTCGCTGTAAATACTAAATTAACATCAAAGGTGCCCCTTTTGTTTGGAAATTTCCATGTTTTTAAAAAAAAATTTGTTCAAAAACGTGCAATTTCGGTATGGTATGACGGGAAAATTTTTCTCTTCCCCCCCGTCGCCAACATTTCCGAGAAAAATTTCAGAGAAATTTTTTAGGTGCCCTTTTCAATATCCTAAAGTGCAACTGCAAGCCGGTGCCCCCCAATCTTTTGATGCTTCCTACGCGCCTGACTACACACGTAAAAAAACGGCGGTGAAACGGGCTTAAATGTTCACGATCGGAAAGTGATTTATCTAAGACGGCGTAAATAAGAAAAATGTCGGGAATATTTGATGACAGTTACCGTGCGCCGTGTGCTAGAATCGAAGCCGTAACCCTGGAAGGCATCATTCTAGCTATGTCATGCACGAAGAGTATACGCCAACTTCGTAGGCTATATATACAGGTTACTAAATTTACAAGATGATCGTGTCATTACAAAATGTATGGAGGTTGCACTTCATGCCACTTTCAATTCTTTGAGAAAAGATTAAAGACTAGACTTTCCCTGAACATTTCAAGAAAACTCAAGATAGAGCAAATAACAGACCTTTTTATTCAGAGAACTGCATTCTCTCTTATGAGTTATCGCAGTTATGGGTCAGGATAAATGATTTCCCAAGGATTAAAAAAGGATTAGATATACATGCATGCAGCAACCCCTCGCCTATATTTTCTAAACATTGATTTAACATGAAGTATTAGTAATTGATCAACACTGAACGCAAGCTCGCGTTTACGTCAGTGTTGCCATTGCAACACGATAATCTTAATTTTTATTATACTTTTGTACAAGCGGCAAAATAGTTGAAAGATTATTGCTTTTAGTCCCTGGTTCCAGAGGTGTATTTTTATTATTTTCATTTCATCGAGCCGCGCCAATCAGTTTGAATTAGAGTCAGATCCTGACTCTGTCTCCTGATTGGATGATTGTATTAAAGCTCTCTGATTGATTCAAATAAAACATCTACAGGGTGTATAAAAAAAAGCGCAATCCTCGACTGAAATGTAAATTGCTAAACAAATAATGGACGAAAACGTTAAAGTTTACATTCATTTTAAAGCGTATCCATTCAGCTTTCTAACAGTGGGTTGTTTCTTAAATTTGACTCATTGGTTCGCGGGTAATAATACTTTACGTTATTGCGATTGGAGATTAAAAATATTGAGATGGAATAACAAATCGTTCTCATGAAAATAACTGATTTTTTCATTAAAACAAAAAAATGTTGCATTTTATTAAATGGATTGTAACAATAAGTATAATTACGGCTTTTCTTCCACTACTTTTAACTCAGTTTGAAACTTCAAATGCGATATAATTTTGGCTTGGACCATCTAAGCTGACTGACATCAACTTGCTATAATTTCTGTTTACATTACATCGCAATTCGATGACATTCTGGCTCAGACACCAGAATGTTTTGACGATTTTTAGCATTCGTTTAGGATTTTAAAACAACCTGGTCTCTTTTAAAATACTTTTAATTTGTTCTTACGTGGTTTTCCAGATGTAGTGACGACAACATTAAAGTTTAAAGAAGAAAATTCTAACATTTAAATCGACTAAACAATAACATAGTAAACTTGCATAATTAAACAGCAACTAAAAATGATAGGTTTACTAAATCTTTTCCTGTGCAATTATTACTAGCATTGGAGACAAGGATAATAGTTTGTTTGAAAGAGAAAAGAACAGGCTTTGAAGTAAGCCTAAAAGCGTTTAACTAGAAATAGTATTTCGAAAGTTATTAAGCACAAAAGATGAATTGCGTTTATTTTGGTACACCCTGTATAACCAGTCAGAGAGCTTTAATACAATCATCCAATCAGGAGACAGAGTCAGGATCTGACTCTAATTCAAACTGATTGGTGCGGCTCGATGAATCAATTGCCGCTTTCAATCAATTGCCGCTTTCAGGTATATTTTAAACCTCTGGAACCAGGGTATGCCTTTAACTATATAACAATAAATTTCCGAAATATGTACTGCAGGTAATGTTGTTCTCAATTTTGTGAGCTTTTATTTAATGTAAAATTTAACCTGAATCGCTTCGTAAAATGTTTTGAAATGTTCATTTTAATAATTAAACTGCTTTTGCCGATAAACTATTTTTATTTCCAATTGTCGAGTAATTTCAGTCAGGTCTTCAAATTAATTTGCTCTCCTTTACATATACCTCTACTTTTTTTTCTTAAATTAAACAGGGTAATTTAGGAAACTGACAGCCTCATTGAAAAGGAAAACAACAGTGCTTGTTTTACGCATAAAATTATTAAAGCAACAAAATTCATAAACATTAAACATTCACAGCAAACATGCCCTATATTTCACAATTTCCGTAGTAAATCAATTCTTGTCATTTCTTCAAACAAAAATTGCTTCAAAGCTTATTGTGTGAAACGTGATTTTCCAAATAAATGCATTTGAAAATTGAAATCTTGCTTTAATTTAATATCCTCAGTGTGCTTATCCTACTCCTGGCAAACAGCCATATTTTTGGGATCAGTGAGGAGGTCCACACATGAACCATAGTCACGGGCCCGATCATTGATGAACTTTAGACTGTGCTAATGCTTTCCTATCCCCTGGTGTAAATAGCCGGGCGGAATTAGTACCCTCGCCCAGGTGAACGCCCGAAACGGCGCTCGACGCTGTTGGCTCGGGGAGTATTATTACCATCGTTATTAACATTTTACTTATTTTAGTCGCAACGTGGTTGGATGAGTCTTTCTATCTCGTGAGTGGCGATATAGTGGAATCATTTGTTAGCAGGAGAGACACTTTATTATGTCATGTTTTTGAGAGTCAAGCCATTGGATATTGGATCAAGAATATTTCAAATTTAACTACATTTGCGGATAACAAAAGACTTTTACATGCTAGTCAAAAAGGATTCAGCACAGAGAAGGACGTAGTTAACAGAGGAGAGATTTGTCATTCAGTCCTTGGGATTCATCAAAGTTACCCTGAAAAAATGAGAATGTTGTGGCGTACTTATGAAAAAGAAAACAAGCCCATCGCATACCAGGTGCCTTCAATTTCCTATAACTGTAAATATCCACTTGCAATGGATCACAAGTTCTTCCGTCGTAGTAAATTCTGGTTTGCTAAACTGAAATTATGCAAAGACAATCCAATATGGAACCGAAGTGGAGAATATAAAGGACGAAACGGTCCGCACTTTTGAGCATTTCTTTTTGCTGTAAAGTTACCCATAACCATTGCTGTAAAGTTACTTATATTTTGGAACTAGTAAGTTATAATTTCATGCTCGAACCCGAGATGGGTGCCAAAGTCACCTAACGGTCGCCCGCATAGAAACCTTAGTGCATGGGTTTAAAAAGAAAACTAATTGCGTTTTAGATAGCGCCATACTATTAGATAAAACATCCCCGATCCGCTATTACTTCAAGTACTGAGTATGACCGCAACCCACGTTGTTTATTCGTCCTACTGTTCGCTTCATTATTTATACTTTAAAAAATCATTAATAATTTATGAAGAAAATTCAAAAGAACTGAATTTTTAATTAATAAATGTTTGTAAATCGGATAAAGATTTGCCCTGATTTACATAAACATTAGCTTTGATTTTCTCGGTTTAGACAATGTTTATTTTTAAAATTCCTCGCCAATGAACTCATACGATGGGTCGTTTTTAACGTTAAAACATGAGCATTGGCTTCTCATGTTTTAAATAGTACTTAAAACTATTGAGGACAACATGTTATAAATTGAAACTAAATGTGTCTGTTTACGTCAAAACTAACCTGAAGTTATGGGCCTAATTACAGAATAGGGCCTGACACATAACCTATCTAAACCGTGGGATTCCTGATTGGTTGATCGGCATCATGAAAGATTTTGATTGCCTGCAAGTTCACATAAACAACAGTTTTAAAAATAGCTCGCTCAAGGCGACAATTAATATAAAGTTCAAGCGCACGTAACAAATTCCATTATCGATTTCTTCGAATTTCTTTTCTTTTATGCTTTATGGCAGAAAATAAATTAAACAAAAAGTATTTTGAAAGGGCTTTATCAAAATCTTTGACGAATTTTGGACACACGCCGCTGAAAGAACAGCCAAACTAGTCATGTGTTCGAAAGCTTGTCGTTGACAGCGAAGATGTTCTGCCAACTGGCTTCGCCGGCAAAAGTCTTATTTTTTAATATCAGTCCTCCGGCGTTGTTTTCTGAGCTACATTGCCTTCTTCGTGGTACGTTTGAGAATTTCATTGTTGCTGTTGTTAGCCCGTTAGAGTATATCCGCAAGCCGTGCGAAGTCAGAAGTCGGAACTCAGAGGTCGGAAGTCGGAAGTCAGAAGTCGGCACTCGGAAGTCAGAAGTGGCTCTCCTCGGCCATCGTAATTAGTAGCCAGTGTTTCATATATATGGTTTCTTTGGGTACTTATAATGCAGATTAATGAAAAAAATTCTCGAACTCAAACTTTGTAAACCAGGGGGGGGGGATGGCTTGTGCAAGAGATATAAAAGCTTTAATCGTATATCGAATTAATTGGTGAAAATGTGTTGCGTGTTTAATTGCTGCACGAAATTTCAGACAATTTGCTTCAGTTTAAGCCCTTTAACTATTTACTCAAACTTGCATTTTTTCCCTAACAAACCAACCTTTTTCTAGACCGCGAGTAGTCCCTCGGAGAAAGGAGGGACTGCCGAGAACACATCAAGAAACGAAATACGCCCACTTTTCGCTCTTATCAAAGTGGCTCCGCCTTCGCATAAACATTACTTATATCCAATTAAATCTATCCAATAGAAACCGTTATTAAATATCATGTTTATTTACAGTATAAAAAAGGTAAATGAAATTCAGCACGCTATTGTACTCGGCGTATGAACACATTTTTTTCATATTCGGAAAGATCAGACTTTTAGCTGTTGAATGACATGTTTTTCATGCCAAGTGGAAAACAATAAGTAAGTATGAGTCCGATAAAAAATGTTAGTCAGAATAACAGATATTTTCACCTCTGCGCCTAATTAAAGCAGTGTATAACAAAAGAAAACGCAATAATCACATGAACTTGTCGTAGCTTAGATAAGATTTATTCCTACTTAATCCCCGAGCCGACGGCGCGAAGCGCCATGCGAGGGTACTAATTCCGCCCGGCTATTTACACCCGGGGGAACGAAAGCATTAGCCAAGTCTAAAGTTCATAAATGAGCGCGGGCGTGGGTTACCGTGAGTGGTTCGGTGTAAGTGGGTGGTCATCCTCACTGATCTCAAAAATATGGCGGACTGTCATGAATAGCGGACACTGATTAGTTCAATTTAAAGTTTGCATTATAACGACTGTCGACTGTATGACGAGAGCGAAAAAGCAAACATTTCTTGATTTGATGATTGATAAATTTCTTGCAAATATATTTATTGCAAGATCTATATATCGCATTTTTGCAAGATTTTGTAAATTACAAGAAAGAAAGGGCGAAAGAATCGGCTAAAAGAGGGGAGCCGACGTCAACGAAGGTAACTTTGTTTTAAATATTGATTTTATAATTGCTTTAAAACCCGACGGCCGCTTTGGCCCTTTGGCTTTGCGTATATGAAACAACTAAACAAGACGGCATATAATTTCAGTGTATTAATAATATTGATTCCTTTTTTATTAGGCCTATATTGAATTTTTTAAATAAAAGAGAAAGCAAAGTTATTTGCATGCGAGAATTTGAAATCATTTTATTGCAAACTCAAAGTTTATCGATAAAATCATTTTAATAATTAAAGGCAGTTTTAATAGTTTTATAAAGAACATTTTAAAACGTTTTGCAAAGCTTTTGTGGTTGAATTATACCTTAAATTGAAGCTTATAATACGTATAATAACATACCTAACATATATATGTTGGGAAATTGATAATTTTGTAATTAAAAGTGATATTTTTAGGCGATTTTTCATTTGTAAGAATATTCTTAAAAAATTATCGTGTTACCATGACAACAACTTTGGATACTTCATTTTCGGAAAATACAATGTTTTTGTCAGCAAGGCGAGGGTTTCTGCATGCATGTATTTTCTAGAAATAATTATGAATATGTGCGTATACTTTACTGAAGTGAAATTCATCAACTTAATAGTACCGAATACAACGGTGAAAATATGCGATTCTGACTAGCATTTTTTAACGGACTCGTACTTGCTTATTTTTTATCCATTTGGCATGAAGAACATATCATTCAACAGCTAAAAGCTTGATCTTTCCGAAGATAAAAAATCTCGTTCATACGCATTAATTCAGATACATAGGCGCGCTGAAGTTCGATTACCTTTATTTTGACACACCCTGTATAAAATCAACATTCAGTTCTGGAAGTTATTTATAGCATAATTATTACATATAGATTTGATTGACAGGCGTATCGATTTCGACCGATGGGAATTTTGCGTTGTGTGGGCAACGCGGTTTCATTTCTTGACTGTGTTGTCTGCAGTCTCTCCTTTCCTTTCGCATGCCCGGAAATCTAAATCCGCGGAAAGGAGGGACCGCTCGCTGTCTAGCCTTTTTCATGCTTAATTAATGCGTGTGCCTAATTTGTCAGCAATTGCAAATTAGGTAAAGGCATTAATTAAGCATGCGAAATGTTCATTTTTAAGGAAAAACTGAATGGTTGAAGGGCTTAAATGGATAGTTGAAGGACAGTAATTAAAAACAAAATAAAGTTTCCATGCATTAACTCAAAATACGATTAAAGCTTTTAAATTTATATCACGTTGGATTGGTTCGGTTGGCAGCGGAAGCCATTTTTAGTTTCTTGGAAACACAAAATAAGTTTGAAATTACAAAATTTAAGTTTGAAATTTTTTATTATTCTACATTATGAGTACCCAAGAAACTATATATATAAAAAAACTGGATGCTAATAGCTGTTTTGCGAAATCGAGAGGAATTTCAAATCTGTTCAGTATTTTTTATACACCCTGTATAAGCACAACTCGGAAATTGGCCTCACCAAAGTCCATATCTTTCACCGGACGAAAAGCGTGTCATTAATCAGCCGTTCAGCAAAAATACTAAAGATATTAAATGTGTGTTTACAATAGACCTTTCCAAGGTTAACGACGCCATCTTGAATCCATTGTTTTCACCATTGTGTTTGCTCCTCCTGCAAATTTACCTATAGGGAATTCCATTGTGTTTGCACACCTTGCACTATTGTGTTTGATTATGGCGTCGTTAACCTTGGAAAGGTCTATTTCGAATTAATGCGTGAAAATGTGTTGGGTGTTTAATTGCTGCACGAAATTTCAGACAATTTGATTCAGTTTAAGCCCTTTAACTATTTACTCAAACTTACATTTTTTCCTAACAAATCAGCCTTTTTCATGCTTAATTAATGCGTTTGCCTAATTTGTCAGCAAATGCAAATTAGGTAAATGCATTACTTGAGCATGCGAAAGGCTGATTTTTTAAGGATAAAATGTATAGTTGCATGAAGGACTTTAAACTGAAGTAAATTGTCTGAAATTTTGTACAGTAATTAAAAACCCAAGAAAGTTTCCATCCATTAACTCAAAATACGATTAAAGCTTTTAAATTTATATCACGTTGGATTGGTTCGGTTGGCAGCGCAAGCCATTTTTAGTTTCTTAAAAACACAAAATTTAAGTTTGAAATTACAAAATTTAAGTTTGAATTTTTTTATTATTCTGACTAACGTAGAGGATCGGACGTGTATTTTGTGCTCCGTTACTTCAACTTAAATGAATGTTACAAATCACAAGTATTTGATATCGTACTGGATATTTAACTGCTAGAGTCCTTGTTAGTTGTGTTCCGGCGGGTTGGAGCCTTAAATTGCTGGAGAACATAACAGCAGAATTGTATGTGATTATTTGTATGTATACTACAATATTGACGTTACTACGATAATGAAGCTTTGCTTGGCTTGGGATGGCGATTTCGAGTCTTTAAAGATTTTTACACTGAATGTACTTCAGCTTACTGGATCATGGACTTCGCCTGGTGGTGATAAGAAGGTATTTACAAGTGACTTTGTATCATTGAAGTGGTCTAAGAATAAAAAGGTATTACACGTGGAAGGCAAAGATGCGAGGAAAGTTGTACTGTAGTTTCTTCGGTTGATTGACGGTGAATACGGGGAAGTTCAATCGTCTACAAATACTGCTGTTGGAGCACCATGCTCTTGCCTTGAACTTCTGCCTGAGATTGAACGCATGAAATCGGACATGATAAGTCTGCAATAAAAAATCTTAAATCGTTTAGGTGTGGTTGAGGGGAAGCTAACACAAAATATTGTCGAAAAGGGCTCCTTGTCCAATGTAATTTTTTTATTGCATGGAAATTTACATAGTGATGACAACTCAAGCATGCTCGAAACTATTGATTTTGACGTCTGTGAAGCCCCTATTGTTAGCACAGCACTTGTAAACAATCCGAGTTAAACAATGGAAGTGAATCTCCATTAATTGAAAATGCAAATTCAATGGAATTTGCTGATAATCTAAGTCGACAAGGTTGCGACAACAATTTAAGTATTAATAATATCAGCAATGGCAGGCACGGCGGCACGAACAAAACAAAAGAGGTTAGTAAATCAAATCCTCACATTAATCCCGTTGTTGTTCGGACCGCTAATGATGCATGCTTCACACCAATAAAGGTACCGGACAATACAGAAACTTTTACGGCTATAGATCAGTCATGCGAGAAAACTTCACACCACGATTTAGTGCCATTGCCAAATGATTGATAATCACTCACAAGAGGAATTAACCCTGACAAAGGTGGTTTTCCCTATTAGGAACAATAGTGAACAATCGAAAGTAGGTGCGCTTTCCCATGAGGATAGAAATCTAAACATACTTTCTGCCCCCAGCAATACCAAACAATTGCATAAAAGTGCTTCTACAATGCAAGAATGGCAAGAATGCCTAGATCTTGTGACACAACTAACAACATTAGTATAACATTAGAAAAAACGGGACCTCCAATTCCTAAAGTTATACCCAAATGCATGGTTATTAACGCTCGTTCTCTAACAAAACCTGATGCTGTTGTCTCCCTAAATGTTGAGTTGTACACTAATAACATTGATATTTGTTTCGTTACTGAGACATGGTTAAACAACAAAATTCCGTCAAGCCAGGTGTGTCTCGGCAATTACGTTCTTGTCAGAAAAGACCGGTGTGACTCGCGGTCTGGGGGTGGAGTGGCTATTCTGTGTAGAGACGACTGGAAAGTTAAAAATCTTGATTTTGATAACAACCTTGAGTGTGCTTGGTGTGAAATTGTAACACTTAATACTAAATACTACGTAGCTTCAGTATATCACCCACCTGACCCCATTTATCCTGAGACTGAGTTACTAAATCATTTGTCTGAAACTATAGAACAGATTCTTTATCCTGAGCCCAATGCAAGAATAATTATAGCAGGACACATTAATCAATTAAAAACTAAAGACCTTATCTGTCAGCACAACTTGGAACAAATAGTCAAGAGGCCTACCCAAAATCATAAAATTTTGGATGTATTTTTTTAACCAACTGTCCACATCTTTGGGAAAAATCAAAGGTTTTTAAAGGTCCAGTAAGATCTGATCATTTGATTGTCATGGTTTCTCCGCGACATGCTATAAAACCCGAAAAAAAGGATGACTACTTTAGAGACGTAAGAGCTCATCGGAAGTTCAATATGATGAGGAAATTGGAGACATGTGATTGGAGTCACACTCATAATTGCAATAATGTCAATGATACAGTTACTCTATTAAATGACACAATCACTAACATTTTTAATGACTGTTTCCCGTTAATTAAAGTAAAAATGTCAACACGTGACCCACCATATATGTCTCCTTTGGTCAAACACTTATGTAAGATAAGGAATAAAAATATCGCGAAGGGAGTCAACAATGATCTTCAAAAACGTATTGATGAGCTAATTCGTGGAAATCTTGTTCGTTCCGTTGATGATGAGAATAGAAAAAATAGTTTTCGATCCAAAAAGTGGTGGGATACTGTGAATAGAATTACTGGCAGAAAAAGCAAGAGCAGCAATATTAGCTCAGTTATCGATCCACAACATATTAACTCGTACTTTCAAAATGTAAACACGGATGCAAATTACATATCCCCCAATTCATACCAATTCCGGTAGGCACTCGAGTTCCTACCATTGATGAGCCTGCTGTTATAAGTTTTTTGACGAAACTAAAACGAACAGCGCCAGGTCCTGATGGGCTTCCATATTGGTTATGGAAAGACTTTGCACAACTTTTAGCGCCCATGATTACCAAAGTGTTCAATCTCTCAATAGAACAACAATGTGTCCCTCTGATGTGGAAGCTCACCAATGTGAACCCTTTACCCAAAGAATCTCCTTTGACAGAGTGTAATCAGTTGAGCCCTATATCGCTCAAAAACATCATTATGAGATTATTTGAAAGGGTAGTTTGTAAACAGGAGATTGCGTCTGCATTCAAATCCGTGATCGGACGAGATCAATTTGCTTATAAAGAGGGAACAAATACTACCGATGATCTGACTATGTGTTTGCATCATTGGTTCAAGTGGCTGGATGAAGGTGCAGACTCTGTTAGGGTAATATCATTTGCCTATAAGAAAGCGTTTGACTCGGTATCTCATAAACACTCGAAATTAACCCGTATACTATAAACTGGATGATTAGTTTTCTGGCGAACAGAAAACAAAGAGTTGTTGTTGATGGCATAGAAACTGTTTATGTTGATATTAACAAAGGCGTACCGCAGGGTACGGTTTTGGGTCCTTTTCTATTTTCGTTGATGGTTATCATATAAAACCCATGGATGCGCAAAACAACCTATTGGTCAAATTTGCTGACGATATAACGACAAGTGCTCCAGTAAAATCAGGATCGGATTCTGCTGAGGCTGAGGTGGAAAGCATTCAGAATTGGTCGGAAGCAAATCAAATGACATTAAATGTTTCTAAAACGTGGGAAATGGTTGTGCACGGTGGGTCTATGAAACCGTTACCGGCACCGATTGTAGGCAATGAACGAAAGAGCTGGTTGAAATTACTAGGTGTCACATTTCAGGAAAATCCATGATGTTGGGATCTTCATATCGATGATCTTCTGTCAAAGGCTAGTGGGCGTATGTACATATTGAGAATGTGTAGATGCTATGGTTACTCTGCAGATCAGCTAAGCAAATTATTCGATTCGTTAATCATGTCACTCTTTTACTATTGCATTGAAGTGTGGGGCTCTGCACTCCAAAATAAATATTTGGATCGTATAGACAAGTTTTTCCGGCGGGCTTATCGTTATGGATATACGACAAAGAGTATTAAGATATCTGAAGTGATCGAGGAGAGAGACAGAAAATTATTTAGCAAAATCGTATCGAATCCAGAACATGCCCTACATGAATTGCTTCCTGCGTGTAAACAAAGGATTTTAAGATAAAAGGAACATAACTTTATTTTACCTCAAATTAAAACGGAACATTTAAACAATCCTTCATAAAAGGATGCCTTTTTAACTATTTTTAACTTTCATGTAATTAATTAGGATAGATCAATTTTTTAACTGTAATAATTAGGAATTTGACATTTGTAAAGTTGCAGGTCTGTTGTGACTCTAGACAATAAAGACTTTAATAATACATTATAAGAGTAGTAATATAGGCATACCGATCGGGCATGATATTTGAGGGTGAGGAAGAGAGGGCGAATGAGGGAGAGGTAATTAATATTTATACAAATAAGGGTGAGTGAGAGTGAGGTAATTATATTCATACAATGATGGTGAGGTAATTAATATTCTTACAATGAAGGTGAGTGAGGGTGAGGTAATTAATATTTTTACAATGAGGGTGAGTGAGAGTGAGGTAATTAATATTCATACAATGAGGGTGAGCGAGGGTGAGGTAATTAATATGCGAGGAGGAGTGAGGTGGAGTAATGACGTCACGCAGGCAAGTAATGACGTCACGCGGGTAAATTTAGGCAAGTAATGACGTCACGCGGGCATGTTCGGAGAAAACTTGCTGACTAGGTACTTTTTAGCGTCCCTCCACGTGTGTGATACAATAGAGGGATTAAGATTGGCTTACTATGAATAGTTCGAGCCCCTCACACGGTAAAATTGTTATCGAGATTAATATATAGCATAGTTATAGGCAAAAGTTTGCACAAGATTTCAGTTTAAAAATACATTAATATCTTCAAAATGTTTTACAAAATTTAGTACGGTCTATTTCTAAGAGCGTAATGTCTGTGTGTTTTTGTTATTTTTATACAGTTTTCATATTCTTGTCTATCTTCTGGGGATAACTTTGCTACTTGCTCCGGTTTCATAGGAATATATTTTGATCTGTCGCAATAAATATGTTTTAGACTTTGCAAATGTTGTGTCGTTATGCGTTGCTAAGGCATTAGGCGATAAGGAGATGATTAAAGGATTATGCGAACAAGTTCACAAGAATCAATGGCTAGTTCTTTCCGTATAATAGCAATCTTATTACTGAAGAAATCTGCAAATTTATTCACGAGTTCAGTCGTTCATGACGCAGTTGGCTTTCGATGGAGTAATTTATTAACTGTACTAAATAACATGTACACTTTCTGATTATGTGCATTATTGGAAATAACCAATGAGTAGTATGTTGTCTTAGCATTCTTTATCATGGCATTCACTGTCTCACATTGTTTAACATATAACTGTCCGTCAATACATAGTCCAGATGCGCGCGAGCGGAGCTCCAGTTTCCTGCGATTTCTTTTTTCTTGACCAATCTCCTCATTGTACCATGGCGATAAAGGACGAAGAGTTATAATTCGTCGTTTTTGTGGAGCATGCTGCTGTAATGTTTCTTTCAACATATTTTCATATTTATCAATAAGGACTGAGAGATCATAATCATCATTTAAATCTAGTACTTTTAGATCTTCATTGAAACTATCTATGTTTACATTGTTTAATTTTCAATAATAAATTTCAGCTTGTTCTAATGGTGGTTCTCTAACTGTAATGTACAATGTATGGCAAGATGAACTGATATTACTGGATCATGTATTCTGATACCAGTCACTAATTTATCTTAATTCCTTGTTATAAACTAGTCTAAGGTGTAGCCTTTCCTGTTGGTTGGCCCATTGAAGTGCTGTTGTAAATTAAACGATTCCAATATTTTGTTGAGTTTAATAGTATCTGAATCTCTATGAAAATTAAAGTTATCTATATGAAAATTAAAGTCTCCTGCCATTAATATATTGCCAGGTAATACGATCAACTGTTCCACAAATATGCAGAATTCTTCAAAAAATATTGAGCTGCTTAATTTATTAGTCTTCGATGGCGGTGGTCTACAAATGACAATCATTCAATCGGCGTTTCTGGTCGGTAATAAAAAATAAGTCTAAGTCTCAAAATATACCAAACAAGATTTCCATGAAAACAGCCAACGATCTTGTTGACCCGCCGTCAAGAACTACAGCTGATAATCCTGCCGAAATTGTTAAATTGCTCATCAGGTACTTTACATCTGTATTCACCAATGACAGTTCACCTCACTATGCTTGTAAGCCAGGTGATACCCCGAATATAACTGGTGTAAATCTAACTGTGTACGAAATTCGAGCTGTCCTTGAAGCGCTGGATGTTACAAAAGCAACAGGCTCAGATGGAATCCCCGCTAGACTGCTAAAGGAAACAGCCCAAGTCATAGCTCCATCCTTGTGCTGCCTCTTCAACAAATCTCTTAACACAGGCACCTTACCTGACGAGTGGAAACTTGCAAATGTTGTACCAACACACAAGAAAGGCAACGCTGAATACACAGAGAATTATAGACCTTTATCTTTACTACCCATAGTGTCCAAAGTCTTAGAACGATGCGTACTTAACAACATTAAATGCCATCTCCACCAGCTAGTCCACAGTAGTCAACATGGGTTTTTCACGGGAAAGTCATGTACAACCAACCTTAATTATCGAAGCACTAGATAACATCGGCTCCCTCCTGGATAGTGGTAATCAAATGGACGTGATCTATTTAGACATGTCTTAAGCCTTCGATAAAGTTAATCATGAGCTGCTGCTTTCCAAACTTAGCAAGCTTGGATTTGGAGGTGGCCTACTACAATGGTTCCGGTCGTACTTGTCTAATTGGCGACAGCGCGTTACCGCCCTCAGTGCTACATCTAACACCTTACCTGTAACCTCTGGGGTACCTCAAGGCTCCATACTAAGTTCCATATTATTCCTCTTATATGTTCATGACCTACCCGGTCTCGTCAAATCCAGTCAAGTCGCTATGTTCGCAGATGATACGAAAATATTTAAGTCTATCGCATCAATAAACGATACAAAATTACTCAAACAGGACTTATCCAACTTGGAATCCTGGTCTTCGACTTCCGGTCTCCCCTTCAATCAAAGTAAATGTCGGTCGCTGTCTATCACTCGTAAAACGAAACCAGTGGTGACTACATACAAGATGAAGGGTGAAACTCTAGAAATGACAAAATCGGAACGAGATCTTGGCGTCTGGATGTCAACTGATCTCACCTGGAATAATCAAGTAGTAGAACAATCTTCCCGTGCTAACAAGTTGCTAGGTTATATCAGACGGAACGCACGGTTCATCCAAAACACCAGCGTGAGGAGGGAATTGCATTTAACATTAGTACGCCCTCACTTAGGATATGCCACCCAGATCTAGTGCATCAACCTAATTGCAAGATTGGAAAAAGTTCAAAGGCGTGCCACGTTTTCCAGTCCAGACAGTTATACCTCGCGATTACAGTCTTTATCATTACTTCCATTATGTTACTGGCACGAGTTCTTGGATTTGGTTTTTCTCTTTAAAATGGTGAACAATCTGGTAATAATAGGACCTTCTGTAGTACCAAAAACCCGAAGCTCCAGACCGACCAGATCGTCTATAAGCACGGACATACCTAAGTTTGTCATTCGCAGGAGCAAAACAACGACGCATCAACGCTCGTTTCTAATTCGAACAACCAGGGTGTGGAACAGCCTAGCTGACGAACTGAACCTTAACATGATAAATTTGAACTAATTTAAATCTACTATTCTAAGTTATTACTTCCGTGCTTTGGAAATTTCCTACGATCCTGAAAATCCAAGAACATTCAAAACTATATGTACCAAGTGTAATACCGTTCGAACTCTGGTTCAGCCTCTTAAGTGCTGCTATTAGTTATATTTTTATTTCGATAGTTTTTTATGTTTGTACGTCCTAATTCGGGCCCGCAGTAATTAGCTAACGCTGTTGTGGTCACCCTGCCTATAGTCATGTATATTATTCTTGTTCTTGTTATAGTTTTGTGTATTGTAATATGGCGAAACTAATAAATAAATAAATAAATTCTGGTGCAAGTATTACGGCAGTTCAAGGTGACATCAATATATTCGAAAGAAGAGAATTTTCTCTGAGATTGTTTTTTAACTTTAATATATTTCTTCAGTAAGAGACCAACTCCTCCACCTCGTGTATTTTTCCTTGTAACGTGATAAAAGTGATACCCGGTTGGGCAGATTTGAGCATTAGAAAATTCATTATCATCCTCACGTAACCATGTCTCAGTCATTGCTAGAATATCAATATCGTTCTCAGACACATAATCATTAATAAAATGTTCTTTCCTATTTATTGCTCTGGTGCTCAACAGGCAAAAGTTGATAGGCATGAAATAAGTCTTTTGTTCCCTTGAACAGTTGACATAAACTAAATTATTAAAATTTACAGATCGAGTTCGTTCCGTATTCTTAGTATCTCTCGAGGGACTATTTGCATCTTTTTCAGCACTCATTGCATGATTTCCTAATAATAACATTGGAACCACCCTATTTTGTCTCTTCCCCATGATTCCGTACGAAAATCCTCGTTATTTCTTCCATTATTCCCATTTCGAATTTCGACTGTTCGTAGGGTTTTGAAATATTACTCTTACAATAATCAGCACAAATATTTTTGCACTCATTTCGTTTTGAATTGGATTTTCTACCCACGTTTTTTACTCGTTTCCTTGTAGTAATACGGGTAGGAATGGGTTGTTGCTGATTATTATTATTATTATTAGCATGACAAAATTACTGGATGCTGATTGGTTGAGAGGAGTACAATTATTTCATTAATTGTACTGCAGTACAATTAATAATTTTCTCAAAACAAACAAAATGGCGGAAACGTATTTTAAACACAAGCGTGAAATGAAATTGCCGTGTTGGAACTAGATGAAAATACGAACAAAAGCACCAAATTTTGCTTTAACAAAAGAACTAAATGAAAATACAAACAAAAGCACCAAATTTTGGTCGAAAGTCTGGCATGACTGGGCTTTGGCAAGAGAATATGATGTTGACATTGAGAAGTACGTATCCAATTTTGTCATGCTAATAATAAACAAGTAATCATGCGATGTTGCTCGTACAATTAAGGATTAATAGTACTCGTGATGTTTGGAAATTTACCAAATTGGGCTCGCCCCGGCGGCTCGTCCAATTTTGGCAAAATTTCCAAACATCACTCGTACTATTAATCCCGAATTGTACTCGCCATCGCATGATTACCTATACTAATTGGACTGATTTGCGTTATTATTCTGATAAAAGCGTTGTCGTGTATATCCATTTTGCTTATCATTTAATTGGCCATGTGTGCTATCGGAGGGCTTTGTCTGTGTTAATGAATATAGTGTGTTTCCATTACAATTCTTTCTCTTATTTGCGTAACGAGCTTTATTCGAAATATTTGGAATATGTAATTGGATTTGTGCTGGGCTCTCAGGAACGGAATTATTGTCGCTCACACTAATCGTGTTCAATTTCGCATCATTTAAACATTGCTTTTGGGTTGCAATTTGCGATGTGATCTCATTTGGCTTTACAAGCTGAGTAGGAGCATCAAGGCCGAGATTATGACCATCATTACCCAACACTATAGAAATCTCTCTCTCAGAACTTTTATTCGACTGCATTGAGGCGTTTAAATTTGCATTTTCCTCTTGACTGGATTCTACATTAGCTACCATAGAAATACCGCTTTCATTTTCCTCATTTCCGGCATCATAATTTGACGCATTACCAGATTGATAATTATACTCGAGTGCAATGTCCTGTGAAGAACATGCTTGAGAGGATAATTTATTAATTACTGCATCATGATTAGTGATTTCTTAAGAAGTCTTTTGCTGCTCTTTTTGCATAATGAACAATTAATCACGAAAGTGATTAATCTCTTTATTTATTTTACCAATCTCGTTTTGATTTGCCGAAATGCTGTTCCAGAATCTAGATTCGATTATTAGAACATCTAAATTAACGCTCTCAAGGTCAGCAGAAAGATCGCAATACCCAGAGTTAGTGTCTTTTTTGTTTATCAAACTTTGCGCTGAGTTTGGAAGTGGGTCAGTAGTTAGCGATTTATTCAGTACGTTCTAAATTTTATGCGTTAGATCGAATCAGCAATTCAGTCTCTCAGCAAGTTCAGACATTTCTGCCCTCAAATTTCCGCATTCAATGATTCAATCTAAGGATTCAATGATTCAATCAATATAGCGGGAGGATTATTAAAGATAAGGAAGATAAGAAGATAAAGATAAGGATAAGGAGATAAAGATAAGGATATGGAAGATAATGATAAAGATAAGGAAGATAAAGATATGGATGATAAGGAAGATAAATATAAGGATAAGGAAGATAAGAAGATAAAGATAAAAAGATAAAGATAAAGATAAGAAGTTAAAGATAAGGATAAGGATAAGGAAGATGAGAAGATAAAGATTAAGGAAGATAAAAAGATAAAAATAAGGAAGATAAACATAAGGATAAAGAAGATAAAGAGATAAAGATAAGGAAGATAACGATAAGGATAATGATATGGAAGATAAGACGATAAAGATAAGGATAAGGAAGATAAGAAGATAAGGATAAGAATGATAAAAAGATAAAGATAAGGAAGATAAACATAAGGACAAAGAAGATAAAGAAATAAAGATAAGGAAGATAACGATAAGGATAACCAAAGTAGAATATTTTTTGTTCGCTTTTTGCGCATGAGTACTAATTATATGTGTATATTGAATAATAAATCGTATAAAAGACATCGCATTGCAGTTGTTTGTCGCTTTCCTGCTCTGGTTTCCAACGAATTTACAAAAAGAAAACTAACGTGATCTACAATGTTTTCCACACGACCGAAGAAACAACTGGACAGCAAGCGTTTGCGAAACTCGCTACGTGTAAACCTGTTGAAATGGGTAAGTTCAAGCA